TTTGTTTATATTGCAAAAAAAGGAAAAAAGGTTGTGGGTTTTTTGGCCCCTTTAAAAACGGGGGGGTTTTTTAAAAGCAAAAAATTTTTTAAAAACCGGGCTTAACCCTTTTTTTGTTTTCCATCATAAAAAAAAAACCGGGAAAAAATTTGGTTTTATGGTTTCTGGGGGGGACAGGGGTTCCCACTGGAAAATGTATTTTTAAAAAACCCAATGACCCCGGGTTTTAAATTTTTTTAAAAATTTAAATGTCAACTTTTTTGTTAAATTTTGTAACGTGCAAGGGCTGGGCTTTTTTATATATAAAATTTTTTTCTTAGGGGGGTATTTTGCCATTTTAAAATTTGGGTTACAAAAATGTTTAAAAAATTTTAAATTTGTTTAAAAATTTGGGAATAAGTTTAATTTTTAAATTTTGAAAACATTTAACGTTTTTTAAAAAAGGTAAAAGGGGGGTTCTTTAATTATTTTAAATTTGAGGGGGGGAAAAATTTTTTTAGGCTTTTTAATAAAATATAGAAAAATCCCCCTTGGGGATATGATTTTTCAATACTTTAGAAATTTAAAATTACCCCTAACCCCAATGAAAAAAATTGGGAGGGAAATTAAAATTTTCCGTAAAAAAGTGCAAGAACCAAAAATTAAACTAAAATATTAATTAATTAATTTTTGGGGGTTTTGGGACATTTTGGGGGGAAAGCTGGCCCAGGGGGGAATTTTGATCTTTCCGCATTTTGGGGGTTTCTTTTTTATCCCCAATTTAAAGGGGAAAGTTAAAATTTAATAAATTTTTTTCCCTTGAAGTTTGAAAAAAAACCCCAAGGCCTTTAAAGAGAAAATTTTTAAAGGGTTTCAAAAATTTTGGGGGTAGGGAATTGCTTTGGGGAAATTCGAATGTTTTTAATTTTAAAATTGTTCTGATATTTTAAAAAAAATTAAAAATACCCCTTTAAATAAAATTTTTTTGCTACGAAAATTTGGGTTAAACCCTATTCATTTTTTTTTTAATGTTTTTTTCCTACTTATTTTTTAAAAGATAAAAACCTAAAATTTTAAAACCCCAAACGGGAAAAAACTTTATTTTTTTTTTACTTTTTAACTTCCGGGCCCCAATTTAGGTTAAAACCCCAACTAAATATCATTTTTAGAATTTAGGCGGGAAAGAAACAATCGTCACTTTTCCCCCCGGTCTCTAAAAAATTCAGGGGCGCCCCGCATGTTTACGTATTTTTTAAAACTAAAATTTTTTAAATTTTTATTCAAAAAAAAATTGGATCAAAAAAACAAGGGGGGGTTTATTTTTTTTTGGTTTTATATCCCCCAAAGAAGGGTTTCATATTTTTCCCCAAAAGGGGAAAAAACATATTGTTTTTCTAAAAAAAACAGTTTTCTTTTTTTCCAAAACTTTCTTGTTTTTTAAAACTTGTTTTTTCTCATTTAAATTTCAAATCCCCCCTTTGTCATTTTTTGAAAAACCCGGGACTCTACCCCTTTGGTTTTACTTTCTTTTTCCCCGCTTAAAGTTTCGGTAATTTGGGGGAAAAACCTTTTTACATCTTGGGGCCGGGTTTTTTTCCCTTTTCATTCTTCTTTTTTCCCAATTTTATTTTGGTCCTTTTTTGGGTTTTTCAGCTCCGGAATCCCTTTGTTTTAAAAATACGGGCAAAAGGGGTCGCAAAAATTTTGGTTTTCCCCATTTTTCAAAATTTGCCCCCTTTTTTTTTGGGGTTTGGGGTCTTTTTTCCCGGGTTTTAAAATTTACTTAAAAAAAAAACCCCCCAAAATTGTTACCCAAAATTTCGTTTTTTTACGTTTTTTTTTTTGTTTTTTTACATGATTTTTATTTTTCGCTTAATTCGGGGTTCTGTTTTCTTTTTACTTTTGGCCCATTTTTTCTTAGATTCAAAAAGATTTTTTGCCTTGAATCGGGGCCCCGGGTTTAAAATTGAAAAAAACCCACCCTTTTTTTTTCCCCGGGTAAACAATAAAAATTAAAAAACCCAATATCCCCTTTTAAAATTTCTTTGGGAAATTTCCCCAAAAAACTTTCAAAAAACTTTAACCCCCTTTGCTGTTGCTGAATTTTCAAGATTTTAAAAAAAAAACATCATTTTCAAATTTAAAGGCCATTTTTACAACCTTGGTCTTAAAAAGGGTTTGTCTTTTAAAAAACCTGGTTTTTTTTCCCCTTTTGCCCCTTTGGGACTTTTAAAAAAGATAAATTGGGATTTTTGATACGGGGGAAAGTTCAAAAGGGGGGTTAATTTTTTTTAAAATTTGGGCTTTTTAAGTTTAAACCCAAAAGTTTTTTCTGAGAAAACAAAAAAGGGGAAAGTTTCCGGGAAATCTTTTTTAAAGAAATTTGGGGATTGAAAACATTCCCCAACCCTTTTCCCAAAAAGGCATAAAAACCAGCCTTAAAATGCCCTTGGACGAATTGTTTAATTTTGTTTGGGGTTTTTTTACCCTCCTTTTTTGGGTTTTTTTTCCAGTTGCTTGGAGTATTCTTTTTTTTTTAGTTTTTGTCCATGTCTTCTTCCCCAAATTTCCCCCTGTAACGATTTTTTTTTGTAAAAAACCCCTAATCAAAAAAATGTTAAAAAAACTAAAAGTATTAACGAAAGGGTTTTTTTTTTTTTGGGTTCCCTTTTTTTTAAATTTTTTAAGGGGAAACGAGGGTTAAAAATTTTTTTGGGGAAAAATATTTTTTTAAAAACGTTTTTTTGGATCATTTTTTGGTGTTTTTGGGTAAAAAGTTTTAAAATTTGCCCCCGTTTTTTTCTTCCTTGACTTTGGGCCATTTTATAAAAAAACTTTTTTTTAAAAGGGGAAGATAAAAGTTTAATTTTTTCCCCAATTTTTGCAAGTTCTGCTGCCCGAATTTTCTTATAAATTTTCCCTGGCTTTTTTTAAACCTTCTGTAAAAAAGTTTTCCCAGTTTTTTAACGGGGTTTCCCTTTAAACTCCCTTTCCTTTTTTCCAAAATTAAAGGGGGGTTTTGGGCTTTTTTTTAATTTTGGGGAGGGCATGTCTAATTTTAAAAAATTTTGCTTTCGGGGGAAAATTTTTTCTTTAGCAAAAAAGTTTTCCCAAAAAAACTTTCTTTTAGGACCCGGGGGGGGTACCCCATTTTTTTCCCCAAAAGACAAACAACCTTTTTTGCCCCATTTTACCCCATTAAATTTAATTTAGCTTTTTTTTGTCTATCTCTAAAATTTAAAATTTCCTATAAAAACCCCAGTTTTTGATTTTTTTTTTGGTTTGAAAAAATCTATTTTCGATTTGCCCCTCAAAAAGTTCCTCAAAAAATTTTTTGGTGTCTTTTTTTAAAATTTTCCAACACTCCAAAAGCTTGTTCCCTAAAGTTTTAAAAGTTAAAGTTAAACCCTTTCTCTTTTTTCCTTTCCCCAACCTTTCCCCAAAATTTGCAAAAAAACTTTTCCAAAAGTTTTTTGTTTTTAATATTTTGGGTCCTTTCCAAAAATTTGGGGTCAAAACTTTTTGCGGTTTCAAAAAAATTTAGCCCTTTGGGGAATCTTTTACTTTGTAATAAAAATTTTGTTGAAGTTTGATTGTTTTTCCCAAATTTCGGGTTGTTTTTTTGGGGATTTTTTCCAAAGGGGGTAGCAATTTAAAACAACCCTTTTCCGTCTTTGGGGGGGTTTCATTCTGTCTTTCAAAATCCCTCTTTTTTAATTTTTCCCCATTTTAAAACGGAAATAAAAGGCAAAGACGTTTAGGTTTTGGGGTAGTTTTTCTACTTGGTGAAAAAACCTTCAAAGTTTTTTTCTCTTTTTTTTAACCATAGCAGGGGGATGTAGCCATTTTTAAATTTTAACTTGTCGGGGTAAAATTTGGGTTTTAAAAGACAATAAAATCCTCTCTGGAGTTTAAAGCCTAGGGATTTTAAATTTCCAAAAGATTTTCCTTTTTTCATCGTAAATTTTTAAAAAAAGTTTTTCAGGGGACCTTTTATTTCCCTTTCTAAACCCCATTTTTCCCTTAAAAAAAGTCGGGGGGGTTAATTTAAGCCTTTTCAAAAAAGCTAGTTTGGGGCCCCCCCTTTTTTTTTTTTAAATTTTAGGGTAATTTGGGCCTATTTAAACTAATAGGGGTTCCCCCTTTTGGGGGCCCCCAATTTTTGGAAAACCGGGGCACGGGCTAGCGTTATATTTTAAAAAATTTTTTTTTAGGGCTATTTTTCCCAGTTAAATTGGGTTTTTAAAAAATGTTTTAAAAACCAATTTAAATTTTGTTCAAATTTTTGGGAATCAATTTTAATTAAAACAAAATTTTTTGAAACGAAAACTTTGTTTTAAAAGGGTAAAAAAGGGGGTCCTTAAAATTTGATTTTAGATTTGGGGTTTGGCCCCTTTTTTAGGCTTTTTTTAAAAATATATAAAAAATTTTCCCCTTGGAAATGGGGATTTTTTTAAAATATTTATTTAATAAAAAAATTACCCCCAACGTTACAATTTAAAAAACTTCGTAAAAAAAGGGGCATTTAGTTTTTAAAAATGTTACATTTAAATTTACTTATTTTTGGGGGAATACCGGCAATATACATTAAACACAGGTAATATTTTGTTTACAAACCATTTAGTTTACAATAACCTAAATATCATTATAGAATTTAGGCAGAAGAGAACAATCGTCACAGAATCATGAGCGTGCGCCGGGTCGCGTACCCCTTATTATTTTCATAGAATTGTGATTCGTTAACATATTGTATTGATTTTTTCACGAGATATTAAGGACATGTTACAGTAGTTTTCTCTTCAAAATTAATGTACACAAGTAAATAAAAAATATAAACAGTAGAACTGTAGTCCACGAACTTTTTGTACATCCCACGTAAAATAAAACCTGAAATTTGTTTTTTTCTAACAAACTTGTTATAAACCGTACATTTATATGATAAAACTTTTGATGATGGATGTCCTATTTGTTTATGAAATGGTTCTTATTTGTGATTGTCATTAAAGAGGAAAATAATATACTTACTCTTCTTCTTCCTCATTCAGTCTGAAAAAAATATAATCACAGATTGATTTATTAATCAAAATGAGAGGACAATTATATGCTGATATATACATACCGGTGACAATTTAAAATTTAAATTTAAATGTCGACATTTTGTTGAATCATGAGCGTGCGCCGGGTCGCGTACCCCTTGTTATTTGTAATTTTCATAGAATTGTGATAAGAATATTGATAATAAAGGCATAAAAGCATTTAGCAAAACACAATTTTCATATGTGTATCGAATATGTTATGCATTAAAGATCCTGTGGTTGTAACCACACTGAGTGAAACTTTATATATGTATATAATTATGCTTCTTAAACAATTTTCAAACATCGAAGAATATGTAAAGTATGTACTGCAAATATTTATTCATATTATATGTAATCATTAAAATATGTGCATTCATTTCTTTTTGAACAATTTGACTGAGACTTTATAGAAAATAAATTTCTAAATACTACCTTTTATTAAAATGAAATGTAAATTCGGTAATATCTTTACAAATAATGCCTTTTTGCAACTTACAATATTGATAATCATTTGAGCATTTTATAATTATTTATGATATAAAGCCATAAAAAATTGAGTTACAGGATCTTTAATTATTTTGAAATTATTTGAGTTAAAAACCTCCATTCAAACATATTCGTCAATGGTTAGCAAAATCATGAGATACTCATTGCTGAAAAATGCCACACACTGTTTTCCTGTTAGTTTCTTTACTGTAGATGTTAGCAATGATTGAAATCTTCATAAAGTAAACATCATTTCATTTAAGAAAAGAGTGCATAAATCTTGATAGAGTTACCTTTTCCCGAATAATAACTTAAATCAACCTTTATAAAACACCTTAGAACAATACTTAAGATACACAATAAATGCAATATAAATTAATTTACTCACAGATGCAATGAGACACGAAGTCATTATTTCTTTGATAATTGTAAGAGGAATGCTTAACTGTTCATTGTAACACGTGTTTGATATTTTAAATAATAAACTAATAAACTTACTCTTTGTTCAGTTGATCTATTCTGAAACAAAATATTAATTATAATCATTTCTTACTTGTTCAACAAAGCAATATAATAAGATATTAATGGTAATAAGTGTAAAGACAACTATTGATTCGGCAATGTAGGGTACTACTTTATATAGTACATGATAATTTTATTTTAGATATCACACGTTATCGAAAGTTTCATTTCATTAGCTTTTCGACAAAACATTGATAAAATATCTAAGAAATACGGACAGCTAAGAGAAAAACAATTAACTGTCTAACCAATAATCAAATGGGTATAAATATAGACGGTATACACAAATACTAAAGTTGGTACAGATGATATTTGTTATTATTGCGAGGGAAACACTTGTTTAATATACATATAGTATAGGATCAACTTATTCACTTAGTTTATAAATTCTGAAACCAAAACAAGGTTTAATTATTATCAAATGTAATGTATGTTAAACGCAACAGTCTATCCCAGTAATCTGCGATAGTTTGTTCATTTTGTTGTGTGAAAATCTTTCAATGTAGGCCGTATTACAAATAATATGACAAATATATGAATTTTCAGTTATATTTACAAAGAACAGCGTAATAAAGAAATGAATCCTATGTCAGGGCTTATATTGACTTTTATAATTTTAGAAAATCGAACCAGAATAATTTACAATTTTGCCGGTTTCGCCATTATATAGGATTCCGTTTGTGTCTTTTTTGAGAATATAAGATTTAATTGATACGTTGCTTATCGTTTCTGTTTTGGTTGCACATAATTATCGTTTGCAAATCCAGTATCTTATTTACTTACTTTTGTTGCTTGTTTCGTATTCTGAAAATAATCAAACAAATTATTCATAAGATAAGATTATAAGTTACGAGGATAAACTAAAAAAAGCGTTTTAGTGCACTTTCTTAAAGTAACATTATGTCAATTAATAAGTAGACAATGTCTGTTCAGGTCATTCATTTAACTTTAAATTTTGTCATGTTTGTTTCCAATTCTTTTAATATATGTTACTTGAATCATCAATAACCCCCATTATCTATATAAATAAGTACAATTGTACTGCTTCTCGTAGTGGTGAACATTTCCATGCAGTTTTATTAGAATCACTCCATATGTGTAGGAGATATGCTCTGGATAAAATCTCTATATTTTATCATCTTTATTGACATTGATCTTGCATATATTTACCTAAATTACATGTTTCAAAACCGTAGGGGGAAACTATAATATAATCTGTTATTCAAACGGACGTGTGATAAAGCATAAAAATAACAATAATAATAATAATAATAATAATAATAATAAAATTTAACTATCGTTATAATGAGATTATTTTTTTATTTTGAAAATATGCAGTTTATCAAAATTGTGTAATATATAACAAATATGGCCTAGACCTTCAATCAATCAATATCATAGTATTTTTGTAATGCCATACATCTGATAAGCAATTTAACACATTTCTATCGTAAAACACAACATTTATTTCAATCTGAAAGTTATTTCTACTATACTTACTCTTCTTTCACTTTATTTAGTCTGAAACAAAAATATATTATAATGATTATTTGACATATTGATAACATAACTATATCATTATTAAATTTGAGAACTATTAATAACAGTCCTGTTTTTTCTTTAGTTTATTTTTTACTATATTTATGTTAGAAATATGTATAAACTCTAATATAATGCTATGTAATATATATTGTATATCTGAATATATTGAATATCTTAACAATAACAAAGAGACTATGACAATATGAGGTAAACTAATAAAACAGGCCATAAATGTTTAATTCAAAAGTTGGCACTCACTTCGGTATTTATCGGGATGGGTTAAATAGCGACTCTATTACATATCTGTTAACGACACGCTGAATATCTACGCTCTTATCCATTTATTTTCAAAAAGAAGAAACCGAATGACCCAAAGGCGAGAACCTTTAATGTACGTTGCATACAAGCTCTTGACATTGTAGTTTTAAGCAGAAGATTTTTAAACAGATGTGTGCTATATAAATATATGGAAACTAGGTTACCAATTATTACCTGGGTCTATTTTCGGGACCAGTTACAAGACTTATACACTTTGTGTAAGAGGGTTCATATAGCAATGTTGCATGTAAAATATCTTAGCCCTTTCTCATTGTTATCTCGCACAAGAGAATTTCTATAACATTTCTAACTTAAGTCTACATACATTTAGTGACCCTGGGGCGGTCAATTTAAACCATCAGCTAATGATTTATGATACAATCATACAGGACCACAACTTTATGTTATATTCCAAATATTTAAACTCTGAATGCGGAACTTTTTAAGACATTTACAAGTTAAGTGTAATTATACAACAACCAGTGGAAACATTTAATGTATAAATTCATGTATCGGAGAGCATATTTTGATATATTTCCTAACTCTTAATTATCATTAAAAACACAATAATTCACTATCTTGCTCTTTTAAGGTGGAGACACTTCCATAAAGTGGATGGTATTTTGCGACTTGTCAGTCTTAATGTTGACGGAATGGCTCAAGCGTTCTCCGTGCTTTATTTCAGACACGAACAAGCACTTAAGTAGAACTACCGACAACGTGCAAGAAAGTGCCGGATGATGATAAATTTGATGAAGATTTGAACGTGCAGAATTTTTACTCATCTAACAAAAAACAAATTATATCATATATGAATATGAAAAATATTATTTTATTTTATTTACAAATTAAAAAATCATTATACACCCTCGATAATCTATAATATTTTTTGTGATGTGTATAATTGAATGTCATAATGATTATTATCTTATGTACTTACTCTTTTTGATCTTTTTTGCGGAGTCTAAAATAAATTAATCATGATAATTATAATACATTATATCATAAGCAAAATAACAATATAGAACTAAGTATTATTTTTTGATAGTAAAACGCCTCCAAACACGTTTATTTCAAAGCAATAGTATTTATTTATAAATAATTAATCATAAAAAACAAGCACGTGAACTTACAAGTTCATCAAAATAGTAAATGGTGATAGGTTTTAACTTAGCCATTCACCCACGGACAACCTAAGTGTTTATTGTGGCTAAAAAATAAAGTTAGTTTTGTCTCTTTACGAGCTAAAACAATAAATCAATTAGTATATCCTTTAAAGGCAGTGCAATTGCACCTTTTTGTAGCAAGCGTGTCTTTATAAGCAGTATCTGATATAATACTTACTCTTCTTTTGAACGTAGTCTGAAACAAAAACAATTATATTAAAAATCATTTATCATAAGAAAAGGAAAATAAAACTTTCGGTTTAATAATATTTTTTTCACAATTTCCAGTTAAGTTTATTAACAAGAACACCAAATAGGCATGATAATATATGCCGAATGCACGTTGTTTTAAGTAATCGAAATATAGTAATCAAAACGTACAGAGGAAACCGATTTATTACCTTTGTTCGAAACATGTTTTATTTCAATTATAAATATAAAAATCTATATTGATATATGCGAAAGAATTATGCTCTTGTCGCATGAATACTTAGGGATACATGCAACTATGCTACAGTTTTCGGTCATGCCCTTGACTGACAAGAACAATAATGTTGGTTTGTAAATGACAAAAATTCAAAGAAACATAAAAATAAAATTATACCTGAAATTCAAAAGCACAAGATGGTATGCCTCAAAATACAAATAATTTTATTTTCTTTATTACCAAAAACCTGCACATTTGTGAATGTAAGTCAATAAATAAAGGCAGTGAGAGCAAAGGTGTAAAAACCGGTGACCTTTACCAAAGTAAACCCAATTTAAAGGAAATCCTACAGTATCTACTTACCAACTATGAAAGACATGAGTCCGAAAATAAAGGCTTCATGAGAAAAAAAAATATATCTTGTCATGGGTCACCTTGTATTTCTCGACAGAGACCAATTTCCAATTTAAAGTTATAGGACTACCTAAAATATTTACTTTTAAAATACACAAAAAACATCTGTTAATAAATAAAGGCTGTATAAGCAAAAGTAAAACAAAAATATTAAAAGGCCGGTTACCTTCAACTAAGTATTCCCTAGCCCTACCCGAAGTTATTGACACAAGGTATTTTCTCCCAAATTCGAAAGACATGAGTCAGTAATTAAAGATTCAAACGATGTTTCAAATATTGGTATTATATGTTCTGTCCAGGTTATGATCAAATAAGAACAAAGGAGAAACGTTTATCTTACAGTTTAATAAACGGAACATGACTTTTTTACCTTTGTGAACATGACTTTAAGGTCAACTGAAACCTATTAAGAGACCGAATGTTCACCAATTGTTTTATGTTGAACGAACAATGGGTCGCCAATGAATTGTTTGGTATAGATGAGAACAAAATACATTTGTATTTGAATTTTGAAGAATTGTTGCTTTGCTCTTAATCATTGGACACACAACCGATTTAAATCTTGTTTAATCTTATTTTATAACTATATTTATTAATCGTTTACTAAATAATATACTTACATCTCTTGTATTCTACGTAGTCTGAAACAAATTAAATGTAAATATTAGTTTTCATCATATGAAAAAGCAAACAGTAGTACATGAAACTTCTTTTTGATAATTAAATGTAGTCGATAGACAGGATTTCATTTGTGTATGCGATATCAAATTCAAGTGTTGGGTTTAATGTCACATCAACACAATAGAGGACATATGTACGTGTTGAGGGAAACTTTGTGCATTATTTCAGGCTTGAACGTTCACCCGGGTAGAACCACCGACGTTCTTTAAGCTAGCTGGATAGCTTTCTCACATGCTCAACAGGCCAAAACTATTTTGTACATCTTCACTTTTAAAGAAAAGGGCCAATCCATAAATAAATTCTTTAAAGGATGTTGAGAAAAGAAGTTAATTTATTTTTTCCGGATTTTATTTATATATGCTAAAGACTGGATTCATGTAGGTAATTTTGTATAAAACAGAAACCGTCAAGTTGTTTGCTATGTACAGTTTAATCACTTAACCTTATGTAGAAAAAAGATGTTATCAAAGTAAAGTTAAAAGGTAAATGACAGGCGACGAACGACTGAAGACGAATATGGGGAGATCATTTTTCTTGCGCAATATGTGCTCTGTTATGCTCATGAGTCAAAAACTAAACTATCTTGCTACAATAACAACGTGCATGATCATGTCTGGTGATGAAAGAACACGTAAAGTTGTGAACGCGTGAATGCAAATTCATGAATTTTTGCTTTGACTTATCTCATTGCAAAACAAATTTATAAATAATTCATGTTCTATCAAAATATCAAATACATGCAAATAATTTTTTCTTAAGACATTTTTGAAAAATGTTAAAGTTCACTCCTTTAAATAAAGTTCAATAATTTTTAAACTTTCAAATTTAAATTCAAAATCAATTAAGACTTTGAAAATATCAGGTACCATATTTGATAATTAATTAATCATAATTAAGCCAAACAAATACTGAAAATTATTTTTTAATTAAAATGAAATACCCTTTTTTACCAAGAACGACCCGAGAAACACATATATAATGTTTAAAAAAAACAGAAAGAAAAAAAGTGCCTCTTCTAGGGCTTGAACCCATGCCCCTTAATTTCAATACAGTGGACAGTAGTTCTAGCCTATTTGAATACTCTTCAAAGTAAAGGTAATGCATTAGCTGGGACAAACCTTAAATAGTTTATCCAACCGTCAATACTTCACATGTTTTGCGGTGTACAGATTTTATAACACAATTATTTACTTGTGAGCCATTGAATATGATGTGATTTTCAACAGTAAATGTCATATTGGCCAGGTGATAATTACATGTATATGATCAGCTTAAGATAAAAATAAAACCCAAAATTCACCCTTTATTATAAACAAGTTATCAATGTAATTGTCATTGCGGTGTTACTTTTACCTATTCAAGAAATATGCAATAAAGATCTAAATGCAACATTTTCAAAAAGGCTATGTTGTATGGTCATTTGGTATGAGTATGAATCCATTTTAGATGCTTCGCCTATTCATAACTCATATTCACTCGGTGATTTACGCACGCACAGTTAATTGTCTTAGCTGTATGATTATTGAATATGAGGCTCATTCAATTTTTAGCTTTGGAAAATCCAGTTCAGCTACTGATTATGACACTACACCCTGTGAATATGATTTTATAAATTGTTCTGTTGACTAATTTTGAACCAACGAGAGTGTGGCTATTATCAAATGACAATGTATTTTAAAGCCGTATCAAATATACTTACTCTTCTTGTTCATGTTTGAGTTGGCTGAAGAAAAAAAAGGAATTTAATAATCAGTTTTTATCTTATGAAAACGAAAACAACAAATTAAGTATTATGTCTTTTTAGTGATGAGAAGTAGTCAATAAACACAATGAGCCGAAGTGTATCTCAGATCACAATACTTTTATAAATTATTTCACCTTCATATTGTACTGAACTTTTAGAAAATTCTATCAGTACAGAACGCAGCCTTTTTAAAGGGTTATAATTTAAATTAAACAAGCAAATATGCTAAGAATATTAACTGAAACGTCGCCACCATTTTCGGCATTTTTGAGCCATTTATTACGATTAAAAGAATAGAATGCATATTGCCAATATGTAAGAACGAAATTCTAGCTTTTGGGCAAAAATATTTATTATTCCTCCATAACATTAAACAATAAACCAATCAATAAATTAATCCAATAAACTGATTGAGCATTGGTTTTTGTGCTACGCTTATCATATTATCTCAAAATCAGTATTTAGTATACTTACGTCTCTTTTGTACGTAATCTGAAACAAGCAGATTATATTAAACATAATAATAATAATAATAATAATAATAATAATAATAATAATAATAATAATAATAATAAAAAAATAATAATAATAAATAAGAAATTTAACTATCGTTATAATGAGGTTCTTTTTATTTTGAAAATATTCATCAAAATGTTGTATATATTAAACAAATAAAGCATGAGAACTTGCTTCGGCAAAGAATGTTATAATCAATCAATCAATTAATCAATCAAACAATATTCGACATTTTAATGTCATACAGCTGATGTCTGAAACAAAAATATATAATAATTAGCATTACGCATTATTTGGTAAACAGAACCTTTCCATCAGTAAATTTGAGATCTATTATTAATAGTCCTGTTTTTTTTCTATTGTTTATTATTGCTATAGTCTTGTTAAAAATAGGCATTAACGTTAAAATGATGTCGTACATCTAAACCATAACCATGAGACTATGACGGTGCCAGATAGCTCATCAAAAATACTAATAGGAAATACCATATTTATTTTATTCAGAAGTGAGTATTCAGTTTGGTATTCATTTGGTTGGTTTCAATAGGGACAGCATCCATAAAACTCTATTACATATTAATTTGGTAATGATTCTTGCTTTAACTCATCCCTTTCAAAACAATATTTAAATGCGCTGTCCTTAATAAGTCTATGTAACTCTAAGGCGGGACCAGTTGATGAAAGATGCATGAAAATGAATAAAAAAAGTCAATGTAAAAAACTAAAGAAACTTTCAATGTGTTTTCCTGAAAATGTGTAATGTAAATTAAGGAATACCGGGATTTTGGCATTCCTAAGCCTTAATTTAAATTACATATTAGAATACCACAAGATAATAATTTATATCAAATAAGTACTTGACATTTTAGTTTTAAAGCAGAAGATTTTTTAACGTATGTGTGCTATATTTGCCTATTCGTTTAACCTATTTTTGCATTTTTTTCAAATTGTCTTTAAATTGTTTTTGTAATTTATGTATACTTACTCTCTTTCCATTTGACGTAGTCTGAAACATTCAATTAAATTTATCATAAATAATGACATATGACGTAGTTGTTAAGGAAAGGTTAATATTCACAGAAGAATGACGTAGGGAAGGACATTCCAACAATAAATCAATTTGTTATTTATAAGTCATCAATAACCCGATACATTTCTTTTAGTATTGCGAGAGATAACGTGTCCTAAACCTTGTCCTAACACGTTGAATTATTTATGTATTATTATATCAAATATATTCGTATAAGTTTGAAATATATCGAAGACAATAAACATTATTAAAGGCATAAGAAACTCAACAATGTACGGGATCTGTGTGAATTGTGATTCCTTTTTCGCTACATGGACTTAAGTGTTTCAATTTTGTACCTAAAAACTATAGCCGATTTTTGTTCTTCCTAACTGTATTACTTTTTGCATTCAAGATCTTAATGCTATCGAAACGTTTCATTTTTTCTTTCATAAAACTGTCAAAATATGCATTTTATATGACATCACTTTTACATCAAATATATTTCCTATTTAACAAAATATTTAGATGGACTTAATCGCTTTATTCCATCATAATCATGTTTGAGAATTATAAATAATTTTTTTTTCTCAATCATTTCATATATTCTAACATGTATGATACTGCCCGAGATAAGAGTTCGTAAAGATATATAAAAGTATATACAATTGTTCTTTAGATGTTAACTCATATAACAATAACAAATGCATATGTTATAAAAATATTGCTCTGTAAACTACATATCAAAAGGCGAATGTATAATCTTACTTATAGTTATCTATTTTAGTTGCACACATATAAATTAAAAAAAATAAATTTGGCATTCTTGCATATCAAAACTAAAACGAGAGGTTTTTCTAACAAACTTTTAAACAACGATTAATTGATAATGCTTTTGATTATGCTATATAGAGATATCTGTTGAAATCATATTTTCCAAAAAATGACTTCGTGTTTCATATTTTTTGTATGTGTATCAAAACCCTAGCCAAGTTGTTGTATGATTCGAATTAAAGATCTTAATGCTGTCAAAACGTGTCTTCCTTTTCATCAAAATTCTGTCAAAATGAAAGTTATTTTTCCAAACTATAGCCAAGGTTTCCATTAAACAAAAATGTTTTGATGTACTCATACAAACATAATATTTTGTTTTTCTAATAAAAATAAAAATTTGTTTACATAAACAAGAAAGCGTGCAACGTATATAATTGCACTTGATTTGTCACTCATTTTAGCAACAATATCATATGATAATGAGGCAAATATAATTTTGTCTAAATAATTTCAGAAATTCCAGCTTGCAGGACGATATTTGATCTAACAATACCAGGTGAATATTTTTTTTTTAAATGTAACTATGTAAAATGCATCTCAACAACGAACTGAAATTTTATTAATAATACATTAATTTATTACATTGACACATAAATCAAATTAATAAAGCCATCAATATATCATCATCCGTGAAAAAATATTCTTGCATTGCATTTTTCAAAGTGCCATAAAATTATGCTATTCTTCAATAATGTTTATTATATTCGATATATTTCAAACTTATACGAATATATTTAATATAAAAATACATAATATAAATTGAATATGCTTTTCAGAGACGGACTTAAATTTTACATATAATAAATTGTATTCAGTTTACACATATTAGTAGAACAAATAAAAGAACTAATCCGTAGAACATATTCTTGCATTGCGTTTTTCAAAGTGCCATAGAAGTATTTTGTAATATATGTATACATACGCTTCATCTTTTTCACGTCGTCTGAAAAATTAAAATTAATTATTATAATTAATGACACAATACATGTACTTTGTGATTTAGTAGATAATGTAAAAAAGTGTGGCAAATTATAAATGAATAATTTGTTTAGTTCTGAATAATCCGATACACTTCTTTATGTAATGCATGGATAAGGTGTGTCTAAATAACTCTAATCATATCATATATTATTATATCAAATATATTCGTATTAGCCTGGAACAAATCAAAGTTATTAATAATTATTAATGACATAAAAACTATGACACTCCTGAACTAAAATGATTGAACGAGACTATGGTCTAGTACTCCATCTCTCCAGTTTTCGTAAAATATATGGACAGCGCTTAAGTGTAAACCGGAACACCAACATTACTGTAAGACGCCCTCTTTTCATAATCCCCTGTACAGTGTAGTTAAAATATATAAAGATCATTTCCCTGTCTATCCGTCCGACCATCACAAAAATGTGTCCGGACTACTCCTAAACAACTACTGGTGCAATCTCAACAAAACTTTAAAGAGATGATCAGTACTACCAAATATATAAGTGCATATCGCAGGCATTATAAGGTCGAAAAAATGTTTGTAAGAGTTATGCACATTTAATGATCTTTATTTTTTTATTGTGTCTGCACTACTCACTTGTACCACTTATCAATGTCATTGAAACTTTGTAGGATTTTTAAGTTTTACATTTTTCAATTTAAAGGCTCAATGAAACCTATATTTAAAATTTTGTTTTGTTCCCGAAGAAGTTCCTTGTATCATAGTTTGGGGACATTTCTGTTGAAAAAGTGTCAGAGTTAAATCGTATACATATACATGCACAGTGCGGTAACTGGAGTGCAGGTATTAGTTACCCGCACTCCAGATCATGCCCGTTGATTGGCTCATTTTTGCTGGGGTTTACATATTGTGACGGCAGAGAAAGGGAAAGCGGCAGAAATATCATATTCAGATGCTCGATCATTGATTACTTTTTCCCGGACAACAGGGCACGTATTTTTATGTTTGACTATGATACAAAAGAGAAAAAACACCAAAACACTCGGCAATATGATTTATACTCGGGGGCTACGCTCCCTCGTACAAATCAGATAGCCTATTGATTCGGTGCTCTTTCTATTACGTAATCCTATTGTTTGCCGATTTATATATGTGTCAGAAGGGAAAGTCGCAAATCAAGGAAACATCATATGATAAAATGTTTGAATATATTACATTTTATCTTTATATTCAAGTAGAACCCATCCGGAAAACAGAATGATTTTATTTATAAATGAGAGCTGTTTCCATAAAAAAAACATTAAACGTAATTATTGTTTGTTTCAAACTACGAAAAATTAAAAGTTAACGATACCTTGCTTCATAGCCCTGTTTGAGGTTTTGAATCTCGGTGTTCAATACCGTTTTTTCTTTGTCTACCTGAAATACAAGTTTGCCTGTTCCAAATTTGGATATTCTTTTCTTTATTTTTGTCAAAGAATAGAAAGATTATCAATGCATGTACAAAGTATTGAAACTTATTGTGCACAAACTAAGTATTTGTAAACCATGAAATATGATAATATTAAAGTATATCACAGTACAAACGCTTACAAACCTTACATTGATGTAAGAGAGATAAAATTGAAGATGTTATTTCGATTCTTTACCTATCAATTAACAAAATGTGTTTTCAGTCATATATACATTATTCAGGGAGCAGGTAAAATAGATATCACAATACTTTTACGAGGGTTGTCCCAAAATGTCGTAGACTACATTATTTTCTCTTCAACCTGACGTCATAACTTATTAAAATTTACCAGATATCTTCCTTGGTCATTTGTTAATTTACCTACTGAAAGTCAATAGCCAATATATTAGGTAACGCTTTTTATTAGGGTTTTATATTTAACAGTACAACATACCCGGAGCACGATAAAATATTAGTCAGTGTTGAGAGCATGCTTCTTAAAATAATGCCTTTAACTTCCAGCATAATAATAATTATGGGAAATACATTCATGTGGAATTACCTCATTCATTTTTACGTCATATCACCAACAGACGTTTATGTAACGTTAATTTGAAAAAGTCTGTAGCAAAATACGTAACAGCAGTGCTATTTTGAAAACGCCCAAAATGGCGACGTCAGATGAAAATGCGGCGCAACGCAATGTCACTGAATACTATGTTAAGTTGAAGAAGCGTCCAGCGTTAATTGACAACATGGAGAACATTATATTTTATCAAGATAATGCACCTTGCGATAGATCTAAGGAGACACAGATTGAACTTGATGTGATAGGTTTTCAGAGACTTCCGTACGCCCTAAGACTTTGCAGTGTTTCTTTATTTGAAATCACAATTACGAGGTCACATGTTCGAAAACTTCAGCGAACTCCGCCAGGAAACTCAACTCTGCGAGGGTTGAGTACATTGAAGCAGGACTGTTTTGAAAACGTTTATGATAAAATTGGGTTACCCCACACTGTCAGTGCATCGCGAAACACGGTGAATACTTTGAAAATTTAAAAAAAAAATGTTATACCGTCATGACGTTTATGACGGCGTACGCCGGGTATGTATAGGTAGCATTCTTTAAATTTTGATAACTTGGTCAATTTTGAAGGTATTTTGATTTTATTTTGCATAGACACACATAAAAGGTGTATTGACTTTTCCCTAGCTGGAGGACTCAATTGTATTATAATTGATTGAGTAACAGGCTTTGTCTACGATATTTTGGGACAACCCTCGTAGAGTAACACTCCGGACAAATATATAGGACTGAAAGACAGAATTAAAGATTGACGGACGAAGACTATCACCATATTATCCATCGTCTGTTCGCAGGTGGGTTAAATATAACTGTTAAATGTTAAATAAGTTAAATGTTGATGCTGCACATCAAAGACGCCGCCAAAATATGTGAACAGTCAATCAGCATTGAAAATCGTTCTTTATTTCAGTTGAATATCCGAATCATAAATCAATTTTTTCTCCATTTTCTTGGTGTTCGCTCGTTGTTAAATAATAAAGTTGCATATTTTGTGAAAAAGTAGAACCTAATACATAAATCCACAAGAAAATGCCATGTCTGAAATAAATTCTGAAATGTTTGTCTGTTGCAACAAATATCGAAGCAAAATAAATTGGAGAATAAGTAAAATTGAAATACAACTTGGTATACTTAAAATAAATTTAAGACAATATGTGCCAAGAAAATGTCCATTTAAATATGGGTTCGAACTGCATAATGTCCGAATTATTTGGAGGACAAACTGTTATGCAGTGAATTCCCCTTACTGGCCGTAGCGTTACCGGCGTACTTTCTTAATGGATGAAGGAGAACCGCCTCTCTGATAGTTGGCGTTGTTTAGGCTTTGTAACTTGTTATTTGATGATTCAACAAGTGATATTGATCAAAGCTGTCCTGGTTTCCCTCCGCCCCGTCAACGGAGACTAAATGCTAGCATACGGATCATCATATTTAATTTGGCGAAACTTTAAGGCGGACCCGAATTTCAACAGGGGCGGAGCAAGTGAAGTGAGTGACACTGTCCAGCCGTTACCTCTCTCAACGGTCGACTATAGACTGGCTCATTGGCACGTTATTTAATATGTAGATAAAATTAGATAATGATGAAAAGAATATGATATTAAAACATGGCACTAACACTTCAGTTAAAAGTTTATTCTAATCCCGTAAACTTCTGTGACATGTTGTTCATCAGCGTCTAATAAATGAAATGCACATACCTGTGTTTTTAACTGGGTATTTTGTTTGCAAAGGTCATTTACTTGAGCCTGCATCCTACCAATGTCATTCTTGAGATCCTGATTTTCAAGGTTTAAACTGTTGATTACTTTTTCCATCCTTGTTTCCTTCGAGTCGATCTCTACAAATGATATCAGTTTCATTGTTTGTTTAATCTTTTAAAGTTTTTGTGATCCCTTAGTTGTTTACAAAATTAAAAAAGGCAAAAACAATACTCGAAGACATGACAAAATAGAACCGAAAATAAGAAAACTGTTATGTGTTTTAAGTTGCTTTGTATTTTGTATTTTCCTTTTGTCACCTCTTAAACACTAAGACACGACAAAGTAAGACGTGACTTCATTTGTGTATGTCCACGTGTTGCTTTTTCGTCTAAAATAAGAGATCATATCACTTGACGTAATTCAGCCACTTAATTTTGTTAGTTATTACAAAGTGAAAAAACACGGTGCAAAATGTTTTAAGATAAGTAAAATTTGTGATGAATATTATCAAAAATCTTTTAAACTAATTTTACCATGGCAATTTTAAAAAATATGTTTGAAAATTAAAAACCGTTTTTGAAATCACCACACACTTAAATGTGTTATTTTTTATAATGCATTTTAACTTACTTGTCTTATTCTTGACAGATTCACCGAATACCAGATATCCAACATCTGCAATCTCGTCTTTAATATCGTCAATCTCTATAGATCGATCGTATCTGACAGCCGTCTCTTGTCCATTTCTGGAAATTTTCTCCATGTCACTCTTCATATTTTTTAATAATGTTTGTGTGTCTTTCATAAAAATGAAAATTTCACAAGTTTGATTAATTTTCTCTAAATTACTCATCCTGGCTATCTTTTCCTGCAAATCCGTGTGTAGAATTGTCAATTCTTTCAGACAATCTGTGAATACTTGATTATCTGTGTTTTGTTTTTCTTTTAGATCCGATTTGATCTTTTCAAAGAGGCGCTCAAAAAAAGTTAAAAGCTGTTCTTTCTGTTGACCAAGGTCTGAAAGGGCTGTCTTGGTCATACCGTCGGAAACATGGAAATTCTTGGAAATCTTGTTCTGTAACTCCTTGACATTTTCATTCATCGCATCCAGTTTTCTTGCAAAGCCTTGAATTTCTACTGATGTCTTAGATTTTTTCACTTCGATCGGAATATGTCTTACACTTTCGCATAATTCATGATCGTTCGTAATGCAGTCGTGACATCCAACTAGATCACAGGACATGCAGATATATTCCACAACTTTATCGGTGTGTGTCCGACACTTTGTAATACAGACATCTTTCGACATTGCCGAGTCCGATACAGTATGCATTGGATCAAAAGGCATGCTGTTTTTATCTTGTAGAACATGGTGTTCAAATTGCCTAAAGCGCTTGTGATACTTATAACACAGACCACATAAATATTCAGAGCAGTCAGCACAAAATCCTTCTGCTAAGTTTGTTTGTCGATCCTTGCCGCAAGGTTCACAAAAGATTTCCCGCAATTCATCAGAACAAATAGACAAAGAAGCCTCCATTATGATTCAAGATCAAGACAGGTTGACTATCTTAATAATTGTGTTATAATTACAAAACTATTACATATAACTAATTAAATTGGCTTCTATCAGCGTCTATGATAACACTCAAGTTATCAAAAGCGATTGCTGACGCATTAAGTGGTCTAATATCATTGCTTTATCGCTTATGTAAACATGAATCCACAGTGAAGTGAAACATACTAATAACATAAGATTGTATGTTTCATGTACATACTAAGGTTAAAATTTAAGTGAGAATATATCTTGATATAGGTTAGACATTTTTATATCATATAAAATTATGTTTATAATTTCGGGTAACAAATAACTCATTCACATGATAAGAAATAAACATATAATTATTTCAGCATCCAGCCTAATAAGGGCAAATTCCTCGTATTTTGTGACAGTACTTCTTAAATGAAATGTTCCCTTATGAGCAGTTTAATTACGTTACCAGGAGATATGCGACAATCAAACCATATTTGTGAAATATTTATGAAATGTTAATATCGTTTTTTCTTATTGACAGGTTTTCCGTAATAATTTGATAAGCATTTAAGATCCTGTAACACAAATATTTTATGGTTTTATGTCATGACTATTTTGCTCAAATTTAAGATGTTTTTTATTGTAAGTGCAAAAAACATTATTTATAAAGATGTTACCGAATTTAACATTCCATGTAAATAAATGGAGGTAATAAAAAATATTTTCTATGGTCTAATTTCTGCGTTCTGTGAACGTTGCCTTTTCCTTGTTGATCTTTATTCTTGTTTTTCTAAGTCATTGTTTTCAATAAGAAATGAATGCATATATTTTAATGATTACATATTATGTACAAATATTTGCAGTGATCCCTCAGAAGCATTAATCAAAACACAATTACATGAACATTGCAGACTCTGTTTGATTGAGAATGTACATGATTGGTCATGAATAAAGTCAACATTCCTCATGACCCCTAGCACCGGCTTGAGCGGCAACAATGATCCCGAATGACCATAAAATAACAACAATGAATTGAAGTACGCGGTATCTTGTTACAGCTGCCAAACATCACTTTACACCTGCTGTTGTGAAGTAATAAAATCGGGAAACAATGTGATCCCTCGGAAGCATTAATCACCACAAAATAACATGAAAATTGCAGACTCGGTTTGATTGAATCTGTACATGAGGTATAATAAATAATTGAATCTGTACATGAGGTATAATAAATAAGTGCACCATCCATCACGCACCCTGGCACCGGATTGAGCGGTACATAATTCTCAACACTAAATCGTGCTGGCATCAATGATCCCGAAGGAGCAGAAAGATATAACAACACTGGAGTGAAGTACGGGGCAACGTTTTACCGCTGCCACTCAGCACTTGACACCTGCTGTTGAGAAGTATAGAAATCTTCAAACAAAGTGATCCATCGAAGCATAATTCACAACAAAATTAATTGAAAATTGCAAACCTAGCTGGATTGAATATGATAAACAAGATCAACAAGGAAAGGCGGCGTTCAATGAACGCAACCCCCATATGACCCAGCAACAAAAACCAATGGCAAGGAGCCCAGGGGGACCCCAAACAAAAACAGGACAGGGCAAAGACAGAGCACGGACAGATTAATCATTAAATGATAATTAATTTTGTAACTGATTAGGCCCACAAAGGGGAAGGGGACAGGAGACCGGGGGGGAGGGGGGGGGGGGTAATCAAAGAAATAAAAACTAGAGGCAATGGGGAAGATACTTACCGTAGACGAGAAAACAACAAGGGACACAAGCAAAAGTGTCACCAAAACAGTATGAAACAACATAAGACATACATCTGAGGAACACAGTGGGGCGCCGCTGTGCCGCTGTGTGTTGAGTCTGTTTTCAATTTGTCATTTATTTTGCGTTTCTTGATCTTTGGACCACCTTCTTATTTAATTTCGCTCATTGTTTTCTCGTTTAGGGCACACACATTCCTTTTACTTGGGGACCATACGCTGCTTTTCATGGAATGGCACTTGCGTGTCATAATGAACATGCTAAATCAAATAGATTTAAATAAAGAATCCCTAAAGAAAGCCAAACAAGACAAAATTGAAAATGTTGCAGGCTCGGTTTCATTGAGCCTGTTCATGGTTGGTAATGGAAAGTGCGAGTTACCATTGAACGTTCATTGAACGCCCCCTTTCCTTGTTGATCTTGTTAACCATATTTTACCATGAACAGGCTCAATCAAACCGAGCTTGCAAAATTTTCAATTTTGGCGTGTTGGACTTTCTTAAGGGATTCTGTTTTTCTCTATTTTACCGTTTACCTCCCTAGCACCGGCTTAAGCAGGATTCAACATTCTACATGAACTGGTAACATTTAGAATATTTAAACATCCGCAGATGCCGAATAGAAAATACTTAAATACTACAAGCACAACAATAATGTCGTGCTAAACGATTTAAGGATCGGAAATATAACATCCCTGACTGAATGTACGGGGCGAGGTTTTACAGCCTCCACACGGCACAAACAACGCTGATGTGGAGATAAAATATAGTGAAATAAAGACTTAAGAAAGCCCCCAAAAATATGATAAACAAGATCAACAAGGAAGTGCGGCGTTCAATGAACGCAAATAGACAAAATTGAAAATGTTGCAGGCTCGGTTTTGCAGGCTCGGGCCCTTGTATGTGATTTTTTTTGTCTTCCTTTAGGACATCGAGTACTTTTGTTATGCTCATTGGGTTTAATTTTATATGTTTCTACATGATCATTTTGGTGTTTTACTTATTTCACCTTTTGTAACCATGACAACTGTTAGAATTTCACGTGGCGAGGATTCATTTTATTTAAACTGTCTCGTTTATAGGAACATGGTGGGGCTAAGAGTGAGGTCTGGTGCACCATTAACCGGTTTAAATTCCCCAGCAGTACTTGTGCTGCTGACCGTTCCAAGGCGGTGCCCCTCCGTGTTCCTCAGATGTATGTCTATGGTGTTTCAAACTGTTTTGGTGATACTTTTTCTTGTGCCCCTTGTTGTTTCTCGTCTACGGTAAGTATCTTCTTTAATGCATTATCTACTAGCATGTGACTTCTGATGGCACGATGTACAGTTTTACTAGACAGTATGTGTGTAACAGCATTTAGTGCATATATTGTCTCGAGCACGTCCTGTAGGTCAGATCCGGTCATAATATATCCTATACAGCCCAGAAAACTCATTTCTGTATGGAACGCCCCTAAGCGCAAAACTATTTTCTTTAACGGTCCTTGTCAGAAGATGATATCAAGTGCTTTTTGATAAAGTTGCTGTTCAAATGTTAACACTGGTGTATTTTCTGTATTTTTGAGATTGTTCACAGACGAAATGAAATGTTAAATAGATACATGTAGCATCGCTTGGACGTAGATCTATCATAGACATAAAAGTTATTGTTGACTTCTTCGGATATAATGCACTAGGCTTTTCAAATGTCTGCAAAAACCTTGACTAGTTTTTGTCTTGTTTGCCTAAACGGCCAAACAAGCTTGCAAAGCATGTCCAATGGCTCACCATTTTTTTCATTTGAATATCAGGTAGTGCAAAAAACCGCAAGGTCTCTTCATGTGACTCAGATTGCACGAAATACTTTGTGTCAACTCTTTCAAGTGTTGATATATCATTCATTGACACGTATATTCTAGGGACACGTACAGTCATTGCAGAGCCTGGATAAGAAGTGGCTATGATTCCCATTCCATGTAACGTATTTTGTCCATCCTGAGTTCTTAAATATGAAAAACAAGATCAACAAGGAAAGGCGGCGTTCAATGAACGCCGCCTTTCCTTGTTGTGTTCCTTGTTGTTCCTTAAGTTGTGTTCTACATTGTCAGCAATAAAATGCAAAAAGGCGAACCTGTATCTTGGCATGGTATTTTTGTTGATAAAACAGCGGCAGCGTTTTCTTCATACGTCTGGACTTCATAGTAGGAGCAACAAATCCCAAGGCTATTTAATGTATCTTCCAAGAACCTTGATCCAAAATGGTGGTGCAATTAAACACCAAATCCAACTTGTAATTGAGCAGATAAATATTTTGGTCGACATGATTGTATTATACACAGTATGGTAAGTATTTAAGGTTTCTTTCTTGTGATGAAATGTCACTGAATAAAGGATAACTTTCTTTTGATCAACTAAGTTATTGATATCAGTTAAAATAATGTTAGCAGCAGCATTAATGATTTGTTGTTTCTTTTCATTATCAGATAATTCTCTTATTTATTTATAAAAGTTTTGAACAACAGAAGAACACTATTTTTAGTGTCACAATATCATTCCTTCCTCCAATGTTACTGACAATAACCGCTTCTCCAAAGTTATCCATTATTTTCTCCTTCATATGTTTGATTGAATAAGACGTCTCTCACATATATCTGTCATTTTGTTCACTAAGTCTGTGACAATTAAGCTTGCATTTTCACAACTTTCAATCATATCTATAACTTTGTTAAAAGCGTCTTACTGCTTATTAATAACTGGCCTTCCAGGGGATTTAATCTCCGTTGCTATCAGAGACTGTCCTACTAGATTAAATGCCATAGGGATACTTTTTTCAGTCAGGAAATTAACAATTTATGCCTGATGGTATATCGCGTCAGCTACTGGTAAATCTATTACGTGGCTCAATCTTAATTGCACTTCATTTGCCCATTCATAATTTCTCTCAAAACTCTGGAAACAAAGTGATCCCTCGGAAGCATTAATCACAACAAAATAACATAAGAATTGCAGACTCGGTTTGATTGAGTCTGTACATGAGGGATAATGAAAAAGTGCAACATCCCTCACGCCCCCTAGCACCGGCTTGAGCGGTACTCAATTCTCAACACTTTATAGTGTTGGCATCAATGATCCGAAGGACCAGAAAAATATAACAACACTGAAGTGAAAGTACGGGGCAACTTTTTACGGCTGCCACACGGCACTTGACACCTGCTGTTGTGAAGTACAAAACTCTGGAAACAAAGTGATCCCTCGGAAGCATTAATCACAACAAAATAACATAAGAATTGCAGACTCGGTTTGATTGAGTCTGTACATGAGGGATAATGAAA